AACTCTCAGACTGAAGAAGTCTCTTGGAAGAGAGACGAAACGTTTCATTAAAGAAGAACCCGTCCAGAGGACCTATACAATATCCAGAAGAAGTTCTACTTCTATGATGAACATGAAAAAATATTGTGTTCTTCCTCCAGCTTTTCATATACTTGTCTAAATAACAGTGTTTCTACATTTTACACTCCAAAGATTCTTGTAGAAATGTTGTATCACTAAACAACCACATTTACTTCCCTAACATATTAGCATCTATAGGCAGAAATACTGTAAGTCAGGTTGACAGTGGGCATACATGCGCAGTCAGGTCAGTTTTACACAACCAGACTAACTCAGAATAAGTGTTTACATGCATGCCCTTTGGAGTATCAATCGGCATAAACCACCCGTTTCACTCAGATTACAAATTCATTCCAATCGAGCTGAATCACACCAGAATAATCCAATCGGTGCGTTTACATGACACATTTTTATCCAGATCGGCTGTTTATTCTGATTACTTAGGTTCATGTAAACATAGCTACTGACACAAAGAAAATACAGACCATAAACCTCATGAACATGAAGATAAAGTAAAAAAAAAATAAAAATAAACACTGAAACACACAGATCATGACAGGAACAGTTTATCACAAACCAAGATGTGGCAGGTGTGTTGCGACATCTCAGCTTGAATTCTTTAAAACTTGGTAAAAAATAAAAAGGTAATAGGGATTGTGGTGGTCAGTGAAATCCTTTCTATGTGGTTGTTTTTGCAGTGTTGTCAAAGGCCGAGTTGGGTTTGAGAGACATAGAGAAGATGCTCAGCTGGTTTACTACAACTGACCCCTCCGGTAACACAGGCATTAGTAAGGTAGGCTTGCATGTAAAACCTGGCAGATCGCTCTCCACTCTTTATCCCACTCAGATATTTTTGGTTGGTAAATCTTTATCACAGTCAGTCCACTCAGGGATTTTTTCTGCTCATATGGCACAGTGAGGTTTCTAATCTTTCTTCATTTCACATTTTTTGTTACTGACTATTTTATAACCTCATAAGATAGTTTCTCTTCTTCTTGCCACCACATAATAAACAGTTATAATAAGCAGTTATGATCATTGCTTTTATTTTATAATGATGCTCAAGTTACACATGCTTTGTTTCCTACAGCTGCTTATTTGTCTTCTCAACCTCTCTGCATTTCTTACATAGTCTTCCTTTAAGCAATCAGCTTTAAACTTCACTCTGAACTGTTTTCTCACCAAACAGCAAGAGACATAAATGAAAAAAAAAACAGCTTCTTTGTGTAGAATTATAGAATTCTTATTTTTCTGTATAGATTACTGCACCTTCATTGTGTTCTGCACAGTTATACAGCGGGTAAAATAAGTATTGAACACGTCACCATTTTTCTCAGTAAATATATTACTAGAGGTGCAAATGACATGAAATTTTCACCAGATGTCGGTAACAACCCAAGTGATCCATACATACAAAGAAATCAAACCATAAATGTCCAGAAATGAAGTTATTTGTAATAATGTGGAATGACACAGGGAAAAAGTATTGAACACATGAAGAAAGGGAGGTGTAAAAAGGCATGGAAAGCCAAGACACCAGCTGAACTCTCTCAGTAATTAGAAAGCAAGCCTGCCCCTTGTCAGTGCAAGTTAATATCAGCTGGTTCAGACCCAGATGGTGGCCAGGTATCACACAAGAACCATCTGATGATGGGTAAAAGTAAAGAGCTCTCTCAGGACCTTCGCAACCTTATTGTTGCAAAGCATAATGATGGCATCGGTTACAGAAGAATGTCTAAACTTCTGAAGGTTCCAGTGAGCACTGTTGGGGCCATAATTCAGAAGTGGAAAGAACATTATTTCACCATAAACTGACCACGACCAGGTGCTCCTCACAAGATTTCTGACAGAGGAGTGAAAAGAATTATCAGAAGAGTTGTCCAAGAGCCAAGGACCACTTGTGGAGAGCTTCAGAAAGACCTGGTATTAGCAGGTACGATTGTTTCAAAGAAAACAATAAGTAATGCACTGAACCACCATGGCTTGTATGCACGCTCACCACGCAAGACTCCACTACTGAAGAAACAGCATGTTGAAGCTCCTTTAAAGTTTGCTGCACAACATTTAAACAAGCCTGTGTAATACTGGGAGAATATAGTCTGGTCAGATGAGACCAACACTGAACTGTTTGGATGCCAGAATACACATCATGTTTGGAGGTCAAATGGCACTGCACATCAGCCCAAAAACACCATACCAACAGTGAAGTTTGGAGGTGGGAACATCATGGTGTGGTGCTGTTTTTCAGCACATGGTACTGGCAAACTTCAAATAATTGAAGGAAGGATGAGTGGAAAAATGTACAGAGACATTCTTGATAAAAATCTGAAAACCGGTGACCATCCTCACTCAAATCTCCTGGTATCCTGGGGCAGAACTGACCTGGTTCACATTGCAATGGTAGGAAAGAACATCTTTCTATGCGTTTGGTGGTGTGCTCAGCTGAGGTGGTGAGAGAGAGAGAGTTCAGGCGCTCGAAACGGACTCGGAAGGAAGAGCTGGCGAGTTGATTTCCCTTAGAATTCACGCCCCCTCTTGATAAATGAATCAACGTTTTCTTTTATTAATCTAGGAAGTTTTCAGTCCTGTTGTTAGAATAGGTAATAGTGAGTGGTGATTCTGTAGCGTAAAATTACTAGGAGTGGTTGGCTGAGGTGATGTCACTTGTTATTTAAATTCATAGCAGTTGGGATAGCAATTGTCTTTACATGCCATAAACGACTTGTGATGTAATTTTTCTCTCTTTCTCTCGCTTTGTCTCCGCGTCTTTTTATTTGTGTTCACCGTCATAAACTGAAAAGAGCTCCGTCCTCCAGTACATGAGATTAAGTCAAAAATACGAGATTAATTTCCTGTTAGAGCAACAGGTGGTGCCCCTTTATTATGTTAATAAATTATAAGAAAACTTATAATTTAGCAACTCTTCATTAATTAAAATCCTCCCACATAGGAGCTAAAAATTCAGAACCTAAATTTACAACATCTTTGATAAATGTTCATCGCTGCTTGGTACCATTTATTATTGGATCCTGGCTGCGGCCAATGTAGATACTGAATCCATCTGCCAAGGTAATGATTGGCCCAGTTTCTTTTCCAATCAATAAAACAAGAATCCAAAGAAGGCCTTTATAATCTTGCAACAAAGTTTGGTTCCTGGATCTGCAGACTAGCTAGCAAACACCAATGGATAAATACACTCCCCCCACACTGGAAGTCTTAAATCACACACACATAAATACACTCACACGAGCTCACAAACTCCAGTAGATCCATGTGTTACAAACTCTTTATTGTGCAATGCTGTACAAGTTAGAATAATACAATGCCTATAAAAATTATTCACCCACTTGGATGTTTTATGCTCGAATTGCTATCATAAATATGTCACAGTCTATAGAAATAGGCATTTTTAACAACAACAACAAAAAAATTCCTTCAACCTTACACATGTCCCGTATTTCTCCCATTTCTTGATGATGGATCTTACAGAATTCCTGTGGAGGTTTAGGTCCTTGTAAATCCTTTTTTAGTTCATTAGCCTAGAACAGGGGTTCCCAAACTTTTCCATGCCAAGGCCCCCCAAATAACTTTAGCTTCTCGCCGGGGACCCCCTGCAAGTTGACAATAAAATATATCAATATATGTAAAGAAATATCAACTTTTTAGAAAGTTTTTTTTTCTCACTTTTGTTCACTATTTAGTAGCTGTAAAGCCATACTTCATGTAACCGCCTGATTTTACTTGGCCAGGAGTTTTTTACGCAGTGTCCTCCATAGCAGGGCTGCTGATAGGTTCATTTGGCCTTTGTTTTGTCACAAACTTGTCCATTGCTATGCTAGCTTCAAACTGAACAAACTCATTATTTTTTTTATTTATTTGTTTCTTCATCATCAGTGACTTTTTTAAGTGAAGAGAAAATAGAGACAGAGAGAAAAACAGAGAGAGAAGTAATTAGAAAGATACAAAGATTGAAATAGCGATTAGAAGTACCGGTATGTTAAATATACACTAACAAAACACAGGACCACACACCCAACATCTGTCTGCTCACCTGAAAAATAAATGGATAAATACATGGAGGGCATATATAAATATATACACATACCCTTACATATATAAAGATATACATACATACATGCCTTCATTCATAAATATTGTCAGTATATACACACAGACATATATACACACTCAGTGACCAGTCAGAACCCCC